CATAATGTCCTCCAGTTTCATCCATGTTATGCGATGGTTCACTGATTCATTATTGTTCTTTCTCGTTGCATAGTACTCCATTGTGTGTATGTACCGCGTTATGTTTTATGATCTGGACAAAAAGGGTGTGTATTAATGTGCACAGCTGTGAGAACAGTACTAGCACACTCCCAATTAATTATATGTTCTGTATAAAATATTTTATTATTAATAAATTTGCCACATTATAACATTAATTTTTTTTGTACTTTATATGAAGGTTTACAGAACAAACTAGCTTCTCATTAAACAGTTAGTACATACATTGTTTTATGACATTGGTTAACAACCCCACGACTTGTCAATACTCTCCCTTCTCAACCTTGAGTTCCCTGTCACCAGCTTTCCTGTCCCCTCCTGCCTTCTAGTCCTTGCCTCTGGGCTGGTACTCCCCTTTAGTTTCATTTTGTTTTATGGGGCTGTCTCATCTTTGGATGAAGGGTGAACCTCGGGAGTGACTTCATTACTGAGCTAAAAGGGTGTCCAGGGGCCATACTCTCAGGGTTTCTCCGGTCTCTATCAGACCAGTAAGTCTGATCTGTTTTTGTGAGTTAGAATTTTGTTCTACATTTTTTTCCAGCTCTGTCTGGGACCCTCTGTTGTGATCCTTGGCAGAGCAGTCAGTGGTGGTAGCCGGGCACCATCTCGTTGTACTGGCCTGAGTCTAGTAGAGGCCATGGTAGTTGTGGTCCACTAGTCCTTTGGACTAATCTTCCCCTTGTATCTTGTTTTCTTCATTCTCCCTTGCTCCCAAAGGGGTGAGACCAGTGGAGTATCTTAGATGGCTGCTCACAGGCTTTTAAGACCCCAGACACTACTCACCAAAGTAGAATGTAGAACAGTTTCTTTATAAACTGTTATGCCAGTTGAACTAGATGTTCCCTGACACCGTGGTTCCCACAGCCCTCAGCCCAGTAATTCAGTCCCTTAGGGAGTTTGGAGGTGTCTATGGAGCTTCCATGATACAACATTAATTTTAAGTCACTATACTTAAAAATGATACATGTGTTCATAGTCAAATTTAAAGAAATAAAAAATAGACATCCAGGTATAGCTGATTATCACTAATCTTTTCCCTTCATGATATAGCCTAGAAATCCTTTCACTGTTGCCTTTGTTTTAAAGCCCAGCCGGCCAGTATTACTCAGGCAATTACCAGTTTCCAAAAGCTCCCTGTGTATATGTGTATGTTTTTAATTCTTTAATGGCTTTGATTATTCTGTTTCCTCTGCTTGGCCTTTGCCAATTCTCTGGCTAAATCTCATTCATCTTTTAAAGCCCACCTTAAACACAGTCTCCTTTTCTGAATCTACCTTCCCTCATTTAACTCTTCCTCCAGCCCTCACATCGCAGGCTAATCAGAATAAATTATTCCTTCTTTACTCTTAAAAGAATTGCTTATTCTTTTATTTTACACACATTTTACTCTGTTTGTATTTTAATTAATTTATTTCTTTTGCTTTCCCTTCTTTCATCCTTCCGCCCATCCCAACGCACACACATACACACTCCAAATATCAAGGGCTGTTGAGTGAAAGGATTAGGTGTTACTCACCTATAATCTTTGTCCTAATGCTATGTACTCTCAGTACATGCTTTGATTTGATTTGGTTTTTCCCTTGATACATCTGATTCCTTTGCTAGTCTGTTTTAAAACTTTTTTTCATTGTTCTCTCTAATTTACGTCAAATACAGCTTTACTCATCAACGTGTCTCTCATCTCTGTCTACTATTTTCTTTCTTTATTTTTTTTAAAGCTGGGTCTCTGAATTATATTATTGCTTTGAAAAATACTGAAATTATTTCAGGGCTGGAACTTTCCTTTTGGACATACTGGTATATTTAAAAAAAAAACAGAACAATTTCTAAAATAGATAAAATACATTCCTTATAGATATAATCGTAATTACTGGGCCCCCAAATGTCATTCTGAGCCTCTAACTTCCATGGATCCCACAAAGACTTAGGGAGCCCATAGTCTTCTCTTTCTAAGCCACCCTGGGGAGTGGGTAAACTGCTATGCTGGCTCTTGGCACAAAAGAATAGAAGGTAGATCACTAACCACACAGAAAAAAACCAAATCAAACCCATTGCTATCGAGTCGATTCCAACTCATAGTGACCCTATACGACAGAATAGAATTGCCCCATAGGGTTTCCAAGGGGCGCCTGGCAGATTCAAACTGCCAACCTTTGGCTTAGCAGCCATAGCTCTTAACCACTGTGCCACCAGTGTTTCCAGGGACACAGAGTGCATTTAAAACTTTCCGAAAAGTCAAAGGGAGTAACACTAGCTCATTAAAATATATGATTGTTTCAAGAAAATGAGAAGCCATAGTATGCTCAGCATGGGTCTGAGCAGGAGCAGGTTGGCATGGTTATGAGGGAACAGCCGTGTCTTCTTGATCCAGCCTCCTTCCCAGGCTTTTCCTTTGGGCCACAGAAGGCTTGCCAGGCAATAACTGGCTTTACTGATGCATGAGTTATTCTGTCCTTTGAAACAGATGTTGCATCACAGGAGACCATCACTCAAAGAGCAATTTTAAATACCTGACTTGCACCACAGAATCATAAATTATTAACATGACTCCAAGTTGTGATTCTGAAATGTAAAGATGGGAAATGAGAAAAAAGCACAGGACCAGAGAGTTTAAATGGTGAAATGTCAAAGTTACCCAAACAAAGAGGAGTATACCCTTATAAGAAAAAATCATCAAATGAAAAATCAAACGGTATTGCATTGGGTTTTTTTTTTCCTTACTTACAGAATCACAGTTTCAAAACTCAGTCCCATGAATGAATTTCTTTCAACTGTGTGGATGTTTATGTTATCTTGAATGTCTCTAGAAGAAAGTACAGACGTATACATCAACCCCACTCATGTAACCTTCCCACAGTTACTTGGCATGATATGGTCTATAACTGAAGTAACATTTTAATGCAATTATTGAAACTTTCCGAAATAATTGCCTGTAATTTATCTTTAGTATATTAGTTCTCCTTAAAAATGGAATTGCAGACGTGCAGTGGTTTCTCTCTCTGAAAGTTTTCTTAGCTAATTGCGCTGTGTTAAAGTTCTCTCTAGGCTCTTTATTTTCCTTGCCTCCACCGTTGGTGTCTGCTCAATATGACAAAGATGCTTAAGCTGATCTTTCACCTCTGTACCAAGCTTCTCCTTTCACCTTGGTTGAGTCTTCATCTCCTACCATCCCAACAGCATTCTTACAACTAGCTTCTGTTCTTCCACTCTCCTTGGGTCCCAGAGCAATATTATCATTGATTTTACTCTTCCTGAACGAAAACCTGTTGCACTGAGTGGATTCCCACTCATAGTGACCCTACAGGGCAGAGTGGAACCGCCCCATAGAGTTTCCAAGGAGCGTTTGGTGGATTCGAACTGGTTAGCAGCCATAGCTCTTAATCACAGGGCCACGTCTCATTTTCCTGTGTGTATCCCTCATCCTCCCATCAGGCTTCCCTGTCAGGTGTGTTCTGACACGAAAGTGGAGAAATCCTCTGCTCAGAAGGATTTGAGAAATTCTAGGATGCTTCTCTGTCTTTCGCTCCCCCCTACTCTCCTCCTCCCTAGCTCTTACACCATTTCTCCACCTCCTCCTTTTGGGTCTATCCAGATTTTTACAATTTCACCCTTGGAAATAAATTTGCCACGACACATTACCTTTTCTCCTCCTCTTTCAAAATACAGATACTTTGGGAGAAGGCCAACCCCTTATGTCACTAACTCTGCAGCATGAATTTATTTGTCTGTTTTTCTATGCCAAGGGCAGCATGAGAGTTCTGAAGGGAAGAGAAGAGGCTGGTAGAAGACAGGTTAGTTGCAGGGGGCAGTATATAAAGCAGTTAACTAGTGAAGAGAAGAGACCTCCTGATCTTGCCACAGCTGGCTCCACTGACAAGGCCCTTATTGAGGAACCCAGCCTGCTAACTTTTTCCAAACTGAGATTAGCTGACCTGCAGGTGAAACCAAAGGCAATTGCTACTTGCTTTCCTATCTCTGCCCACCTGCTACCAAGAGCAACACATTTGGAGGATGTGGACTACACAATGCACCTTACAGGCCCAGAGGCTGTTGGGCAAGACAGCCACTGTGTAAAAAGTTGGTGACCGCTCAAGAAAAAACTTACAGTAAAACCTTTTGGAGAGATTGAATCTTGTGAACAGCTGGCAAGTGCTTAATACCTGTGTTGGATATTAACCTAGAGAGAGACAAAATGAGAGGAAAAAAATGAAACTGGGTATTTCAACAATTGTTAAGAGTATGAGTTTTCTGCTTTCTAAATATCAATTTTGAACAATCAGAAAAACCTACTAGGAAATACCATACTATACCTGAATCATGCTTACATTTTCTATTTTAAGGTTCCAGCCAAGGTTTAGCAAGCTGTTGAGAGGTATACAAGGCTAGGCTAGGCACTGTCCAGTTGCATCTGTTAAACCAGTTGAAATTTGGGTGGAACTGACCGTAGGGTCGCTATGAGTCAGAATCAACTTGACGGCAACAGGTTTGGTTTGGTTTGGACTGTTGCAGTAATGGTCAAGATTTTCAAGTGGCAAATGCTAGGTGTCCGACCTACCAATCTTCAGCATTTCCCTCACTCCTGTGAGTTACTCAGAATCCTTTCCAATACCTCCCCATTCCCATCTCCCTTTTCTGTGTGCGGCTTACCTAAGCCAGAGTTGTTTTCGGTTGCTTGCAACCGAAAGATCTCTCAATGATACACTCATCATTGTAAAGGACCATGTGACATTTTGGGTTTATGACCCTGAGTAAACTTTGATGTCTTATTCTCTACTTCTTTATTCAGAAGTCAGTGAATCCTGCCTCTGGATTTTCTGTAATGATTTTCAGATGTTTTGTTCCCTCTTGCTTTCCAACAATCCACATGGAACCCATCTTGGCCAACTCTTCTTTTGATTACATCAACAGCCCTTGAGATGGTCTTTTGTATTTGGAGGTGGAGCTAGTAGTATGCTTCTTGGGAAGGATTTATTGTGTTGTTTAGTCACTTAAAATTTACATAAGAAAAATGAACTCTTTTTGGTGTAGAGATCTATGAGTTAATACAAATGCATGCCATAATGTATCTACTACCATAATCAAGATAGAGACTGTTCCATAATTCCTCAAAACTCCCTCGTGCTGCCCCTTTGTAGCTAAATTCTTCCTCTACCTCTAACTCCTATGTCTTGGTTATCTAGTGCTGCTATAACAGAAATACCACAAGTGGATGGCTTTAACAAAGAGAAATTTTATTCTCTCACAGTCTAGGAGGCTAGAAGTCCAAATTCATGGTGCTAGCTCCAGAGGAAGGCTTTCTTTCTCTGTCTGCTCAGGGAGAAGGTCCTTGTCATCTATCTTCCCCTGTCTAGGAGTTTCTTAGCACAGGGACCTAAGGTCCAAAGGGCTTGCTCCCCTCCTGGTTCTGCATTCTTGGTGGTAGGTGGTCCCCATGTCTCTGTGCTTGCTTCTCTCTTTTATATCTCAAAAGAGATTGACTTAAAACAACCCAATCTTGTAGATTGAGTCCTGCCCCACTAATGTAACTGCCTCTAATCCTGCCTCATTAACATCATAGAGGTAGGATTTACAACACATAGGAAAATCACATCAGATTGCAAAATGGTGGACAATCACCCTATACTGGGAATCGTAGCCCAGTCAAGTTGACACATATTTTTGGGGGATGCAATTCAATCCACGACACCCTAGCAACCACGAATCAGTTTTTTGTTCCTGTAATGTTGCCTCTTCCAGAATGTTGTGTAAGTGGAATTATACAGTATGCAACATTTTGAGTCTGGCTTCTCTCCCTTAGCACAGTGCATTTGAGATTCTTCCATGTTTTTGCAGGTATTTGTGGTTCATCCCTCTGAGCAATATGGTGTTGTGTAGATGTACCACAATTTGGTTATCCATTCACTAGTTGAAGAACATCTGGGTTGTTTCCAATTCTTCTGGCAGTTATTATTTTTTAAAAGAGGTTTTAACATTTGTGCACAGGTTTTTGTGTGAACACAAATTTTTTTATTTTTCTTGAGTAAATACCTGGGAGTAGGATTGTTGGGTCACATGGTAAGTGTATGTTTAACTTTATAAGAAATTGCCACACTGTTTCCAAAGTGATTGGACCATTTTACGTTCTTACCAGCAATGCGTGTGGGTTCCTGTTACTCTGTATCCTTCGGTTATTTTAAAAAATATATTCTTTGAATATAAGGGTAAAACATATTTATTGTGGGACTTGAGAAAAATATGGAAATATCTACAGAAGAAAATAAAAATCACCTGTATTCTAACTACACAGAGATACTTTCTGCTGACATTTGAAGTTTTTACCCAAATGAATAGCTTTTCCAGTTGTTCTTCATAACCCCCAAGGGTCTACTCATTTCCAACAGAAACATTTCATAACCCTAAATACCCACTAGTCTGGCACAGTCCTCTCCCACATTTGTTATTTCATCATATCTAGCCCTCTATTATTTTTAGATCTCTTCCCATGTGTCTATGTTGCATTCCTGTAATGAGACATCAAAGCAGGGACCATGTTTAAGATTCTCTGACATTCCCATACTACTGTGTGCTGGTTTGGAATGCAGTATGTGCTCATAAAATATTAGTTTAATTGGTTGATGTTTCTAAAACATTTCTTGCTTCTGTCACCAAGAATGTATCAAAACTTTTATTTAGTTAATTTACTTGTCAGGTATCACTGCTACTTGGGGATAATTAGTTGTAAACAGAGGCAGGGAGGTCTGGAGGCCAGGATCCAGGAAGCCTCCAGGCCAACTCTGTCATGAGTTAGACGCAAATCATTTCATATCTCCAGACTGGAAAGGACGTGGGCTGCATGAAGATCAAGGTAGACATTATATCAGACACCTGTTGTGCCCTCCTTCACATCCTTCTGGTCGATCTTTTACTCCAGCTGTTACCATGGCAACCAGCTACATACAGATTTAACTTTGCAGACACTTGCTTCAGCCGTACCACCTGTCTCTCTTTTTCTGTCCTGGGATTCTTTGCCTCCTCTGAGTGGAGTACCTACAGGAACCTGCTCAACCATTCTGAGGCATGTGCAAATTTGGAAGTGCAAAGGAGTTAACACAACATAGGCAATTCTTGACTAGTGGTGAACTCGCCTCTTTCATTCTGTGGGTGAACAGTTTGGAGGTATATTCTACATGACACCTGACAGGAACTCTAGCCTCACGGAACCTCAGTTTCCTAGCGGAGATCAACTTCTTGATTAATATATTCCTGAGTTGGCTTTCTTTCTTTTTCTGTTTTCCTCTTCCTAGTCATCCAGTTCTTTTCCTTGGGTTTGGATATAAAATTAAACTACTTGTATGTAAGTCTTTGCTCAGGCTTTTTGTGGGTAATCAGGCTAAGAGAGACACCAACTTGCACTGAATTTCACGTTTTGCTTAGACTCATTGGTGGTTGCTATCTCCCTTTACCCTGTATCTTTCTCCAGTTGCAGTTCAGCTTGGCTTCTCTTTCTTCTTTCACAGCCAAGTTTCCAGAAGGAATTACCTACACATGCTATCTTCATTTTCTCATATCTTATTCATCTTCCACCTGCTCTGATCTGTGTTTCTCCCACAGTTCTCTGCTGAAACTGCTTTCGTCACGCCAAAACCTCACCACCCCACTAACAACCAAATCTAATGAACACTTAGAATTTTCATTTTATTAGACCTTTCAGGAGCATTCACTACTCTTTGCCAGTCTCTCTTTTCTGTTGGTTTTTATTCTATGCCAGTCTTCTGGTTCCTCCTCTATCACTCTCTTTTAGCTTTCTTTGTTGACACCCCCTCACCCTCCTCTATCTGTCTGAGCCTTTTGCTGTTTTCTTCTCTATAGCCTCATTAGGTACTTCTCATATCTCATGGCTTTAATCAATATGTGGACAACTCTTAGGTTCATACTTGCCTTCTGAGTTCTAGTCTTGTACCTCTAAAGTTTATTTGAGACATCCTTCTAATTAAGGCTTATTTGAGATATCCTTCTGTATCATCAGCATAGGGAATTGAACCACCTCCACCAAACTGCTCTTCCTCAATTCTTCCAGAAGTAGCACCACCATCCATTAATTGTTTGCTAGAAACGTGATAGCTGTATTGACTTCTCCCTTACCACCCAACACCCACTCCATCTCAAAGTCCTCTTTGATTCCATTTCCAAATATTCCTTGATTTCAGGCAATTTCCTTCACCTCCACTGACACCATTCCAGAACAAGCCACCGTTAGTCTTCCACTGGGTTTCTGCAATAGTCTTCTAGCTGCTTTCCACACATTTAATCTTGCCCTCTTCCCATCCATTCTCCATACAACACACAGAGTATTCTTCTAAAAACTGCAAATCAGATTTCTTTACTCCTCTGGTTTAAATGATTTAGTTCTTTCCCATACTACTCAGGGCAGAATTTGTACTCCTTACTGCTTACTTTTCCACCCTCATCTCATGCTATTTCCCTGATGCGCTTCAGCCCCAGTGGCTTTCTCCCAGTTCCTCAGACACACTAAGTTCTTTCCTGCCTACAGGCACTTGAACATGCTCTATCTGGAAGGTCACCATCTGATCCTCACCTGGTCAACTGCTACTCACCTTTAGGCTCCAGTTACAAATGTCTTTTCTTCAGAGAGAAGCTCCCTGACTAATTTACTTTAGAGCCTTTGATTTATTCCCAGTAACCATATTATTTTAGCATTTTTCCTTTTTAGTACTCATCAAAATTCTAGACTTACACTTCATTTTGTGTGTTTTTTTTTTAAATTCAATGCCTGTCTTGTCAACCAGATTGCAGTTGCCATGAAGACAGGAATCAACAATGAAATCCCAACTTTGGCACAGTGTTTGGTGCTGAATATGTTCTTGATGTATATCAATCTCTTTATGCCAGACAACGTGTCATATGTTGTCAAGAGATGAGCGCTCAAGGAATTATTTACTACTTGTGTTCATCACACCTAACTGGTTCAATATCATATAAGCAGCAACCTGGCCATCTCTCCTAGTACTTGAATGAGAATTTTATATAATTAAAGGAGAGAAGAAGTCATGATTGTCCAATAAGAATGGTACGCATGCATTATTTAACACCAATAGCATAAACTTCCATAGCCACGATACTTACGGGCTATCTATGGATATCTATAGATGCACACTGAAATCTTTGGTCTTTATAGAA